TTCTCCCTTTGAAGTTTCTTTTTTTGGGACGATCCAACTCGTTGGAGACCTCATCTTAAAATCAGGACATGCTGGAGGGATTGAATATTCCCTTTGGCCTGGGTGCAACTTAGCTTAAAACAGGAGGAGCTAAAGAGTGTCCTTGAGGAGGAGGAAGACTGGCTAAACCTGATTTCAGATTAGAGTTAGATAACGGACAGATTTATTGATTGCTTGAAACATCTATTAAGACATTTGCATTCATTCGAAAGCATGAATTCCTAAAACCAACCAAAAAGACCCAAATATCGGGAACTGTGATTGGCTGCTTCCACACGCTGCTGTCACTGATGGTGTTTCTGTTTATACGTGTTTACCTCCACAGCAGCCTACGCCAACAGATGCCGCTGAAACCTGACCACATTTAGCCCGCCGCCTCATCAATATAACTCAGAGGAGCGCGTGCCTGTGTGTGTGTGTGTGTGTGTGTGTGTGTGTGTGTGTGTGTGCTGCATTACTGGGCAACTTGACATCACCATGGTGGAGAGAGGTGAGGAGCAGGAGAGCGCCACAGAGGGAGAGCGAGAGCGGGGTGGGTGGCTTCGCTGGGGCTGAACAGAACAGAAGAATACTGGTGAAAAGCAGCAAAACAAAGAGGTTTTCTGGAAGTACGACAGTTTACAGCAGTCATCTGGATTCTCTTTTTGTGGATTCTGGATAAATATCCAGGGATTAACTTGAAAATTAGGAGTTTTGGATGAGTGGAGGGTGTGTCGGAGCCCCCTGGACCAGGTCTCCTCCGTTTGGACGGCATCAGGATGACCGTCACGTATTCCAGTAAAGTAGCCAACGCCACTTTCCTGAGTTTCCATCGGCTGCTGCTGCGCTGGAGGGGGAGCATCTACAAGCTTCTGTACCGGGAGTTTATCCTGTTTGCTCTGCTCTACACCGTCCTCAGCATCGTGTACAGGTCACCTCCACTCACACAAACACCAAATCCTGGCTGATGCCCAGAGCTGAGCAGCTCTTCGTGAGGCAAAATCTTTTAAATCATGTTCTGTCTTGTACTTTTAAAAGAAAAAAGTCTGGAAATGGATCACTGGAGTTATTG